AGCACCATCTAGTCTCTTAAAACATTCTGCATTGCCTCTCTGAGAATAAGTGTATTTTGACTTTTTCTTTAATGAACTCTTTGTCCTTCTTTCTCTATCACTTTAGACCTCTTCAACTAGTCCATCTTTCATCGTTTCTCTACTCCTCCACCCGCTGCCATCTGCCTCCTTATGTCTTTCAAAGCTCTCTTCCTTGTTTTAAACTTTTCTCTGGGCTTGCTCTTCCTTCCTGTTACTCAGATTCTTCTTTAGTATCTCCCATCTTTTGTGTCTCTACCCTGCCTCAGCTTTGTCTCTCTGACCGCTTCTCTGGACACTCCTTCCCTGGGTCTATCTTTCTGCCTCTTTGTGTGCATCAGGCTTAGTGTTCACACATGGTGCATGACCCCTGGCCTGGTCAGGGGTCCTAAACATCTCCACATGGGCATTGCCCAGAGACAGGCTGCTGTCAACACCCTGCAACCTGAAGAGGTGGCCTCCCATGGTTGGCTTTTGCCTAGGATTGCTCCTTAGATATAACATTGGCATGCTCCTATAGCCCCTGGGTTCTATCTCTGTACTAAAAGCAGGCATGCAACATGTGGCTGTCCTGGCCAGAAGCTAATATGGGATATAAAGAAGTTGCAGACATTAGGGATTTGGGAACAAGGGGAGTTCTGATCTGGGAGTCAGGAACTCTTAACTTTCAGCCCCAGAGAAGTCCCAATCACTGTGAGCATGGGGCAAATAATGTATTTCTAGACTTCAGTTTCTCCATCTATGCAACAAAGAGTCAGGATTAAACTAGTTGATCTTTAAGCATTTGTCTAGTTCAGAATTTTAAATTTAATTTTTTTTTTTTTGTAAAGCAGAAGTCCAGATTGCTTTTTCAGGGCATTTTGAGAGAGGAAATGAAAATACAGTCTTCTTTTGATATCAGTAATTGTTAGGTGTGGTCATCTGGAGAAGGTCGGGGGGTGGGATGGGGGACAAAGCTGAGCTGTAGTTGTCACATGGACACTCTGTAGCTGGTAGTGATTTGGAAATTCCAGGCCAGGCGGTTGTCAGGAAATGAGGCATATGGCAGGCCGGCTGGTGGCTATGCCTGTTGGCTACTCTCGAGGGCTGGACCGGAGATTGCTTAGAAGAGGAAGGAAAGGAAGGAGGCGGTGGTGAGAAATGACAATTGCCTTTGATGCTGAAAAACTTGCAGGCCTTCTGGAATGTGGAGGACATTGAAGCTCCAGCCTCCCTGTCTGGGGCTCTGGAAGGGAAACTTGAAAGAAATCAACACAGACTCACTCAATGTGGCCTGCCTTCCCACAGTGAGAAGTCAGGTGACATAGTATGTGGCTCCAAGAGGTGACAGGGTCTGGGGATGAAAATCATTACAAAGGAAGCTTAACTGAGGCCAAGGATGAGAAATCTTGAATGGAATGGATAATCCCAACATAGTGGTAGTTTAAGAAGTTCCCCACATCTTGAGGCTATCATCAGAAGAGAAATGCCTGCTCTCTTCACTGTTTTTCCCTCCCATGAGCAGATCAGGGCAGACCCCGGTCCAGCTATTGAGGCAGCCCAAAGTTTAACAGTTGGGAACAATGAGCAGAGTGCGAGGACCCTGATGGGCTAAGTTCCACCTGAGCCTGGGCACAATCAGGCCAGCCTTCAGGTTCCATGATCTTTAGTACTGACCAGTCTGTTGGTAGTGGGAAGGAAGCATTCTGGGAAATCAGGAGCCCTTAGAACATAGATCAGCCCAACAATGACTTGCTTTGTGACGGAGGTCCTCCCCCATATGTAAAATGAGAGTCAAAGATTCTATGAAGTCCTTTCAAGATTTGGCAACTTGATACTCATGTGAGACTTCCCCTTGAAGCATGCCAATCTTCACAAAATAGAACAGGAACTAGTTCATTTGATCATTTATCACCCGGCAGTCATTCTGATAGTTGCTGGGAGAAATCAAATGGCATCAACATGCAATGTACCTAACACAGTAGCTGGCATCTAATACAGTACCCCATTTAAAAAACGTGGCATTGGATAATGCTTTCCATGCAAGGGACTGAGATTTGAAGCAAAGTTTATCTGAAGGCCCGTTTTCCTGAAACCCCTCCTGTTTACCCATATGCCTAGGCCTTTAAAATCTCCTTCCAGGGTAGGAAAATGCCCTTATAGCTCTCTCCCGAGAGACACTGTTCTTTACTCTCACCGCAAACTCCAATTCACATGCCATGTCCTCAGAGAAACTCTCTGTTCTTCCTCCTAATTCCTTTCAAAAGACTTCACCTGGTAACTCTTGAGAAACCATGGGCATTCCTTAGAACACTGCTTCACAAATTAAATTTCACTATTATTTTTCAATTGTGCATGTCATCTTTCATGCTTGTCAATTCCTTTTCAAAGGGAAGGGATAATTTATCTGCTCTTTCTTTTGGATTCCAAACAACATTTTCTATCCATCATGATGCTCAAGGCAGAGTTTCACAGACTATTAAAATTATAGAAAACTGGCAGTGTAGAATCTCAGCATTGTGTACAGTTCATCCAGACTATCCTTAAATTTCTTCCAAGCTTTTTCAAAAAAGTTTCCCTCAACCTTGGTTTGAGCATATGCATACTAGAAAGAAACTTTCTTGGAAATTGGAGGATCCAACTCTGCCAATCAATTGCTGTGTGGCTGCCAGTCACTTCTGTCACCCTTGAGTTCTCTCTCAGCCTTTCCCTTCTCTTGCAACCACTCACTGGACCTCACAATGATCTCTTCAAATCCCCTTTCTCTCCAATATTGTTTCTGTCATCCTATTTGATTAAAGCCACCAATGTGCTCTCACAATTTCCACAACAGACATCCAAATTGACCCCCCATTTCCACTTTCTTCCATGCAATCTGTTTCCAAACTGCCACCACGAGGTTAGGAAAATGCAACTCAGGCACCATATTCCCTTCTTTAGTGAGTTAAGAGTTCTCTGACAGGTGTTAGAATAGACTTGGCTCAGGAGACACATATGCTCCGCCCCTGTTTGGGCTCTAGCCCACCATTCATCTTACTTCCCTGCTCAACACAGCTTGACTCTAATCTCCTGTAACCATCAAGTCTTTCCCTTCTTAGAATATTTGTCTCTGGTTGATACTTTCTCCAATGTTAACTGCCCCTCACCTTCCAGGTATTAGCTAACAGATTCTTCATCTGAACTGCAGACTCCAAAGCCTACTCTTGCCATCTAATCCAACAGTGGCATTCTCAACACTCAGCTGAAATTAAATTAGATCCCATTGCTAATGGCTTCCCTGAAGCCCTGTATCTTTACCTTATTAAGCAAATTAAATATATATACAAGATCCCTCTGTCAACTGTTCCTAAGTGCCAGGAGGTTCGAGGCCATTTACATCTAATTTTCCATTGTATCCTCAATTACCATCATGGCACCTGGGACATCGTAGGTGCTCAGAGAGCCTGAGATGACCACAGAATGAACACTTTTAGGGAATTCACAGTTTGATTCTCATTCTCTAAAATGAGAGATGAGGGGGTATACTGAATTCAAAGGTAAGAGCAAGGCTTTAGAGTCAGCCTTACATAGATGACTTACATCACTCATGGTGACAGTGGGAAAGTCACTCAGTCTCTCTGGCATTGACATTCCATTGTGACATGGAGATCCTAGTTGCCCAATAAAGATGCTAAGGTGCATTATCCTGCCTCTCTCATTTCTGAGAAGGGGGTCTTGAGAAATTACTCTAAATTGCTGATTCTCATCTGTGGTCAGGGGATGATAATAGTCTCTGTCTCACAGGACCAGTGTGAGAATGACACAAGTTAGTAGATGATGGAAAAGGCTGGAATGCCCCAGGAATGTGCTGAATTAATTTTATTCATCATCATCATCATCATTACCATCACCATCATCATTATCATCAATAGTAGCAATAGTGAAAAGCTTAAAATAGAGTAATCCTTAATAGCTGATAACCACATTACCACTCCTAGTGCAATGATACACTAATAATAATATGATGAGGAGGGAGACAGTGATGACCATAATACCGATTTGTTACTAGTTCTGCCTTTTAAAAGATATGACTTCAAATGATTAGGAGGATATAGCTTGATTATAATACCCTATTCCTTAATCATGGAAAACTGTTTTAAACATATAGTTTTTGGTTTTAGAAATCTATCATATTACACGTATTCTACCATATTACACGTATTCTACCATCTTGCGGCTCTTCAGATTTTGAGGCATGGATAAATTCCATGAATGGCCCTGGTTTCTTTAGCTGTCCAAGGAGGCCTTTCGCCATTAACCTCCCTGTCCAATATTCTCATAGCCTGTCAACAAGCCATCACTTGATTCCTCTCATTTGATGAGCGCTCCTTTTGATTTTTTAATTTCCCATGCACCACCATGTTATTAATGGGGAAAAAGGTCTGCGACATATTCCTGGGGAAAAAAAGCAATTTCTAAACAGCTTAACTGAGATTTGAGGTGTGTGCAAGCATGTATAAACAGACAAATAGGGAGAAGGGGAGGGGAGAGAGAGAAAGAGAGAAAGAGAGAGAGAGAGATAGAGAGAGAGGTGTGAAGAATGTTCAGGAAAATATTAATGCTGGGTATTTCTAGGTGATGAAATTTTTATTTTTCTATTTCATTAAATGTCTTTATTTTTGAACTGCCTGAATAGCATCCATAGGAGACTTTTAATAGACTGAAAGATTAATTAAATTTTTAAAAAATCCATTAACTATACCACCAGGATGATTTAAAATTCAATTTCAAATATGTGGATAGAGCTAGAAAAATGGGAAGTGTAACAACGAAGTGCTAGATCCATGGAAAAGGAATCTCACAGAATGAATCTTGATGCCTCTTAGCACTCCTTGGGTGGGTATCAGTGATCTTAGAGAGATGCTGTCCAGTACCACAAGTATCTGTTCCATCAGGCCCACACTTCCTCCCCCTGCCCAGCATCTGGGTCAATGACCAGCAACGTGCAAGTGTCCATCCCATACCTAAAGGTCATCTGGAAGACTTGGCCTTGGTTCACATGCTGGGTCCGGTTGTTGTAACCATGTAGCATCTCTCCAAAGAGGGTATCGTTGAATTTGGAGTCAGGTTTGAGGCACTTGGGCCCCTCGCAGACATCTGAGAGCATTAGGCAGGATTTTCCATCGGGAGCCAGTTTGTACTCCTCCACACAACTGCAGGATAAAACAGAGTCCAGAGTTAGCTCCGCATCCTGGATGATCCCATTGGAGGTGACCTAAAACCAAAGGCCTCCTTTGCTTGAAAAACAGGTCAGAGTTTAGGAATGGAGACAGCTCTTCTGGATGAAATCTATCTAGGGCACAGGTGTCTGGAGAGAAGCATATTAATCCTGCAAATTGGTAAATTCAAGGAAAGTCATTTGTGACATTTTGGAGGCGCCAAGGGGGATACCAGCATGCACATCCACGCACAAAGCAAATTTAAAAACGGTTTTCCATGAACACACAGACTTAAGAGAGCATGACAGACCAATTCACTGGGAATTATCAACTAGTTTCTCAAACAAGAATCTATTCCCAGTGTATCTGTCGACAAAGGTTGAATACTGTAGCAAAAACAAGGTTTTTATTGTCCTTGGAGTACAGAGGTGACCTGTCCAGGACCATGGACAGCACACACTGCAGTGGCCAAGGCTTCTGTTCAATTATCAATGCTAGCAGCCTCTGTTGGTCTCTTGTCACCTTCCTGATAGCGCAGAAGGGCCCTTGACATGCCTCTGAGGCCGAGATGGGTTCCCCTATGGACCAATCAGGCATCTGAATGAAATACAGAAATAAGATTTGCAAATTGGGAGTGTTTGCAATAGGTGAAGGATTTCTTAGAAAAGTATGGGGCACTAGAGTGGGCATGGAGTCAAGGAAGAGCAAAGGTCTCAGCATCTGACAAATGAAACCAGAAATGTCTACATTTTCATGGTCTTGTGCTAGGAACAGGGAACAGGACACATATAAATTAATAAGAGACAAAAGAATACGTAACACATTTGAAAAGTCCCATATAAATGTCAACTTTGCTCCTTGTGACCTATGTGAATCCAAGATGTCATTTAACTTCCTGTTCCCCAGCTTCCTCATCTGTAATATAGGATTGGCCCTCCCATCTTACTTAATTCAATAGAATGCCATGAGGTCACAAGATTCACTGGCTACAAAAATATTACAATGCACTTAACAAAATCATTACTACAGTGGAAGTAATAATGGTATTTCTAGTTATTGAGCAGTTCTATCTACTGGGAAATGTGCAAATTTATTTCTTAAGCATGAAGAAGGATAAAATTCCTACTATGCACACAATATGAGAACCCCAAAATGAAGAATATCACGCTGTAAGTGGCAAAGTTAGCATTCAAATTCAGACCTGTTTAGCAGCAAAGATTTTTTTTTTACTCTTGTCTCCTTCAAATCCAGTGGTTTCTCTTTGCATAATATGACATAGTTAGATTTTTAAGTTTGAGTCTGTATGAAGCAGGCTCTCTCTTATTTGTCTTTTTTCAAAGGATGGAATGAAGATCCATTTAATCTGACTGCAAAGAGATTCAGGAACTCATAGGACCAGGCAGAGGCTCTGGGAGGTGGTTTGGAAAGAAAATGTAAGCAAGTTGCTGGGACCAGTGGCTGATTGATACTAGAGTCATAGAATCAACCTGGAGGCAGAAAAAAGAAAGGTGGAACTGGGCACAGTGGTGTGGACTTGTAATCTCAGTGACTCTGGAGGCTGAGGCAGGAGGACTGCCAGTTTGAAGTCAGCCACAGCAACTTAGCAAGACCCTGTCTCAAAATTAGAAATAAAAAGAATTGGGAATGTAGCTCAGTGGTAAAATGTTCCTGGGTGAAACCCATAGTACTAAAATGAAGGTGGGGGGAGGGAGGGAGGGAGGGGGAGGGAGAGAGGGAGGGAGGGAGGGAAAAGAGAGAGAGAGAAAGAAAGAAAGAGACAAGCAGAGCTGAAAGCATGACCAAAAACCACTTTAGTGCAAAGCCAGGAACTTCTCATGCATGAAGCAAGCTGCCAATCTTTTCCTTGGCTTCCTCCTATGCCCCTGTGTACTACACTGATGCCCTGATTGTCTTTCTAATGTTTGCAAGTTCTTGCTCAAAGTAGAAGAAAAAGCCTCTTGGAAGGCAGCCCTGTCCTCAAGCCTTGGTAAAGTCTATCCTTCCTTTTTGCTTCTGTAAATTCCTCTTACTACAGTTGCAGTGGAGATGAATGGAATGCATATGAAAGTGTAGAACACATGTACGTGCTCTATCAAATCTAGCTCCCTATCTATCTTAGGAGGCCCTCAGAAAATAGGAAGAAATGGTGTCTGGGTAAAGTAGATAGAATTCTCTGTCTCTGTCTCTTTCTCCACATACCCATATACATGCATGCCACTGCACATGTGAATAGATTATTGTTGTCAATGAGTAAACATTATCAAAGTCTATAGAATAAGATGTAGAAGTTCTTCACTTGTCACTCCACACATCCTGTCCCAGTGATCATCACTGTCATCTGTTATGCATTCTTCCAGGACTTTTTTTCCAATGCATTTAAATACACATCCACAGCATAGACATTTAATAATAAACCCATCAAGAAAATTGCACTATGCATTGCTATGAGACATGCAATGACAACTAAGGCAATTTTTTGGAGATTCTTTTTGTCAAGTCTCTAACATATAGATCTGTTCTTTTAAAACGGCTATCTGGCACTGCACAGTATAAATGCAACATAATGCTTTTAACTAATTTTTATTGATGGGCACTTTGGCTGTTTATAGCTATTTGTTATTACAAACAGTGCTATAATGAAAGTATTTATACATATATCACTGTGCACATGTGTGTGTTTCTATAAGACAGATTCTTACAAGAGGAATTGCTGGGTCAATGTTTTATGAATTTTAAAATTTTGATAGATCTACTAAATTGCCATCTGTGGAGGCTCACCCAGTTTACAAGCCCATCATTGATGAATGAGAGGTCCGATCTTGCCACATCATTCATATGGATATTGCCACTCTGGGATGGGAAAATTAACTCATATTTTGTTTGGACTTGCATTTTCCTGATTACTGGTGAAGTCCAGCATGTTTTCCTGTTATGGTCATTTAGGTTTCTCCTTCTGCAGGCTGTCTGTTCACGTGCTTTGACCATTTACTACTATGATATCTGTCTTTTCTTATTGGTTTGCATATGCTCTGCATATTTTCTGATTAGTTATTCTTCACTCTCCAATATGTATGAGAATCTTCTTCTAGTCTGTGCTTGTATTTTAATCTCGCTTTTGATGGCTTATAACTTCTATATTCTAGTCCTTTATTGCTTCTGAATTTTATGCAATGTTTAGAAAGCTACAAGATGATAAAATATCTTTCTGTACATAATTTTTTGGTTTTTGATTACTTAATATATATGGAATTTATTTTGGGATGCTGTGAGAGTTGTTATTTTAACTGAACTATTTTTTAAATCAGGAAGACAATTACCTAAAAAGTTCATCTTTTTGCCAACTAATTTGAATGTGATTTTATCAGATTACTAAATCCCAATGTATAGCATGCATACGTGGCTGGGGATTTTCCTATTTCCTTACATATATATTCCTGAAATAATTCTCTATCTTTTAATCACTCTAGCTTTATGACTTGTTTTGGATAGGATAAAGTAAGTCCTCTCTCCCTCATGAATGCTGATTTTCTATTTCAAACTTTTTAGAGTGCTCTTCCTTATTTTCCCCTTCAAATGAATTTTAGAATTAGCTCACCAAAGGCCAGGTAAAA